GTTAGTTAGTTAGTTAGTTAGTTAATTGTTTATTGAACATACAATACAACAACAATTGACAAAAGGCAAACAAAATTACAAAAGGAGAAATAAAAATAAAAAGTAAATAAAACAAACATCATCACCGTTATATGCTCAAAGGAGTAGGAAGAAGTATACAACTTATCTAGTCCTACCCCTTGTTGTGTAATAATATAAATAGATCATTTTTCAATGCAAAAGAAAAGGAAGAGATCTACATCTCATCAAGTACTTATGTGTACTGTACTTACAAGGCTGGGGAAAAAAAAAAATATATATATATATATATATATATATAAATAGGTTAGCTTAGCAATTAGCAGGGCTTGTAGCTTCCTTGTCAAAACTCATTGCTAACTAGCGCCGAGCTTCCCTCGACCGAGTGCGTGTGCACGTGCATGTCGTACTACACTCTCTTGATGTGAGTGACACACGTGCGTGCAGCCCAGCAAAGCTTTTTGGCACCATCTCGGTGGTTGATTCTCAGTTTTGCTATTCAATGTGTTTTGACGAGATGCGAATTTAGCCTCACAAATTATTTTTAGATTAGATTAGATTAGATATCCTTTATTTTGAGCCTTGTAGCAGTAGTACATGTACATCCATCTGAGTCACATGGGTCCTTTTCAGCTAACATTACAACAACAGTTGCCCACGCCTTTTGAGACCACTCCAATGTAATCTGTTTTGTGTGTGTGTGTGCGCGCATTACAGGACGACTTCCTCCTGATCCACTATGACAAAGGGCCTTGTCGAAACAAACTGGGCCACTCCAGGGCGTCTGTTATCTGGCACAGAACACAGGTGAGAAATACTCCTCCCCTGGCTCGCACTCTTAAGGGCACCAAGCGGCTATGCACGTGCTCTGTCCCCCGCACCCCCTGTCTTTCTCTATCTCTCTGTCTCGCTCTCTCTCGGCCTGCCCGAGCTGGCTCATACACGTGCATTCCTTCTTCGTTATCTTTAGAGCACAATGGGAGAAATAGGACAGCTTGCTCTGTGTCCTGCCATCTCTATCCTAAGCCGATTATGTGCACCTTTTCACACATTCGCAAGGTTTACATAACAAAGGTTTTGCTCTATCTATCGGCTAGAAAATAAAGCAGAAAGTCTAAGGCTAATATGAAAAAACATTTGATGAATCAATTAGCGAACAGCATCAATCTTGAATTGTATTTACTATTTTTTTTTTCCTTAAGGGAAAGAAAAATGTCACTGAATGCATTCAGTGAATCGGCTACATAGTTTTGACATAATACTACTTAACCGAAGCCCCAAATTTACAAAGAAATCGGTTATGTAGTTTTGTGTACTTTTCTAACAATACCAATTTGAATGAAAATGGGTGATGTAGCGGTAATTTTTTTTAAACTAATTATGTAAAGTTTTCATGAAATTCAGTCAGGAATTTGGGGCGCATGAATATTCAATGTCTGACTAACTTTAGTAATGCATTAGATTTAAAATCTGACTTAACATGTTATGAATGTCAGATATAGTTTGTCATGTTGTTTTTTTCAACATTTAATTTAAACTCAGAAGTCGTGGAAAATAGTGACAACTGTGGGAAAAAATAATTGTCATAGCTGTAAAAAAAAAAAAGTTTAAAATAGGAAAGAAAAATGTGTGATGCAAGTAAAACTGTTTGTAGACATGTTTGACGTGCATGCTGATTTAAACAAGATACTCATAGGGTACTGTGTCCCTTTTGTCCAGCCTCCTTCCTTTGTCATTATTAGCATACACAGTGGCATCTGTTGCCCAGTGGGGCAGCCTGAGTCACACAATTACCGTTCAGCTGGTGGGGGGAGCAAGCTACGGCATCACTTGCTTGTCGTGTGCGTGCGTGCGTGTCTTTGTTTGGCTTGCCTCATTTCACCCCCTTGCTTCTCCTTATCCCGCTCTCACTCCTTCATACATGCAAAAGATGCACCAGCACAACCTTGCCAATATTAAAATAGCCACAATCTGTGAACTTCAATTGATAAGGAGCTTCTGTTGTATAAGAGAAGCATTCCAAGGCCCTTTCATTTTAGTGGAAAGAACATTCTGCTCCTTAAAGGGTACGGTTAATGATCCAGTAAATGTTACCGAAACAAGCAAATACTGTTAGTGATGAAAACACACGTGTCTGACCACAAAGAGAGGAGCAATGGCATTGCAGTATAAGATGTGGTTGTTGCATGTGACTGCCTGTTTGCGCAGTCCAGCTTCGTGTCCTCAATTTAGCGTGTGTCTGGCTCCCTCTTATGGTCATGTAACTGACCTGCTCATGTCAAGAACACCCTTTGTTCATTCCAAGGCAGGTTAATTGATTTTAAAGGTAGAGTCATATTTTAAATAATCAGGTTTGAAATTATTTTTAATTTGATCATCGAGAATTTTAAAACATAACAGCTCAAAAGGAAACGTTTTGGTTTTGGTTAATTAGAAATATCCATCCATCCATTTTCTGTATCGCTCTCCGTTTCACTGTCATTGGTGAGCTGGAGGCGATCGTGGCTACAATTGAGACAGACTACAACCCCGGAAAGGTCACCAGTCAATCTTGGAGCACTTACTTTAATATAAAAATCTGTAAAGGAGTACAAATCAACCTGCGTAATTCAACATTTTACTAACATACAGTATGTGCTCATTCTTTTCAAACATCCTATCAAATAGTTCAGCAAATGTAGAAACATATGAAGTAACACAGTGACCAACATAAATGTGACCCCTCAGGTATAATGAATATGAATTAAAATGTAAACAATCGTTTTTTTTTTTGATGATACTGCATATGGCACGAGCATTATTATTTTTTTGCAAATGTGCGCGATCAAAAGATCGGCCGATTGATTGATTGATTCGTCCGGTGGCAGCAGGCTAACTATTAGCGGCTAAGCCGCTCATGTTTACAGGCAGGGTATGCAAACTGTGGACACACTTTCATCCTTTCCGTTTCATCACTTGTGTGCCACTTGTTCAAATCATTCAACGGGTTTGTTGTTTTGCCTTGTTTTTGACAACATGCCTTGCACAACGGCTTCCTCCACATTGCTCTGGAAACACCCCCAAGAGACTTCTCTTGTCAGAATAGCTTCAAAATAGCTTGGACACCACTGCACTACAATAAACATTTTCAATTTCTCCAGCGGAGCCTGTCCCAGTTAATGTATCTGGAACCTAGGAAACTTTAATGTTCTCACACCCACAAATCAATATTACATCATACAATTACAATGCTATCTATGCTCGATTTTAAAGTTTCCCACACCACAAATATAATAATAATGTGACCTGGGATTTATGGAGTAGAGTCATCTTGTTTATTGGTTTTGAGCACCTTCTTAAGCTTTGTAGAAAACTATTTTATCTCTTTGCAGGTGGTTGGGATCTTCGCTGGGTTTGGCTTACTCCTGCTGGTCGCCTCCCCCTTCCTCCTCCTGGCCACGCCCATTGTCCTGTGCTGCAAGTGCAAGTGCAGTAAAGGCGACGACGACCCTTTGCCCACCTAAACGCCACCACCAAGAGCCGATCATGTGGAAAGCCGCTCAAGGGATGGCCCGTGTTCATTTTGATCCCCCCAGCCCCATCTGCCCTTCTTGTCACACTGATCTTCTTCTCCTCATACCAGCTTTGAGTGCATCATTTTTGGGGGCTGAGCCTGCACGAAGCCCAGGCTGCTTTGCGATCCATCCCTCTGCATGGCAAATAAGCGAGTTGACAGTGTGGCCCTGAAGAGAGGAGTGCAAGGTCAAAGACCCCACACGGGTCAGACTCGTCATAAATTGGTGGTTTGGGGCAGCAAGTCTGCGCCGCTTTAAGTGCTTTTGTTGTCAGTGGAATATCACAAACATTATGAGAGTGTTTCTCTTGTATGGACAATGAACTGCTCTTGTCTTATTGTACTCAACTCAAGTCCCCCCCCCCATCCCCCGCTCCTCCCACCACATCACCCGATGTAGCTCTACAGGTTCAGACCAGTAGCATTTGAGGCGCACCACGCATGTTCGGTGTTCACTCAATTTGCACACATCAACATGATTTGTTTGTCGTGTTGATGGTTGAGGTAGAGACTACTTCGCTCAGATCAGTACAGCGCGTCCCCTTGGATGATGTCATTGTTTTATAACCTTGCGCTTTTAATAGAACTGAGTCGTGTCTACTGTACGTACTGTCTTGTACTTTGAACAACCTTTAAGGAACGCGTGTTTATTAAAGGGGGTCGCCGCTCCTCCGTGCACACGCATCATGGTAGAGTGGCCCTCCCCTTTTTTCAAATTCCGTGCTGACTCACTGATAAGCCAATCAGAGGACTTTCTTTTTTTTTAAATCTGTGTTTCTCTCGAAGAGATGTCTCTCCTTTAATACACCAACTCCCCAAGTGGTGGTCTAGCCAAAACAGAAACGGATAGCCTTAGGATTGACAATAGCCAAAAGCAGCCATTTCCCCCCACGTGTGGTAAATCCAAATATATAATCCCAGGGAAAATGTGTACAAAGACCTTTCAGAGTGTCTGTCAAAAAATCTGTGTTCTGATGATTCTATGATGTCATTCACGTGTCACTCTGTTAATAGCCATAATTGTTCCGGTTGGGGGCGGGGGGAGCAAGAACTTTTTTTCCTTAAATCTTCACATCCATTCAACCATCACAGCACCCAATCAGATCTCCCGCTCATGGACATTTAATATTCCAAATTGCAAACTTGCATATATGTTAGTGGTCCGAGTGTTAATGTTTTGTCTTGTTGGTAGTTTTGACCTCCAGCAACAAGCAGCTACTCCCCTAAGGGGAGCAACAGAACAGCCTGTACAGTTGATAGAAACGAATGTTCCATTTTAGGGCACCTTACTATAAAGCTGCTCTGCGATATCACTTTATCTATGCAAGTTTGTACATTCCTCCTCATTTTTAATCGTCATTGATTGACCACCAACAACAAGTACAGTACTATTACACAAGAACGCTGCAGAATGTCACCATACGTTTTGAACATCATTCATTCATTTACTTGGAATAAATTTGAAATACCGTATTTCCTCCTCTTTTCCCCTTCAGGAGAAAAAAAAAGAAAAGTAAAAAGATGTGCGGCTAGTTAGTAACGTGACAGGCAGCATTACCACACCACAAACTGCCTCCAGAGCAGAAATGCTATATGTAATGGTGGAGTGTAATAGTTTAACCTTTCACCCTTGACCCAAAGCAAATTTTCATGGGTGGGGAAATACGGTATGGATGTTTTGTATCAGCTTTTCTATGCTGTAGTTGAATTTATCATACATCGGTTTCGATGAGTTTAGTTTGCCACATTATTGTAATCCCAGCAAAGTGACCTGGCCCATTGGTACGTTGTTGATTTTAAAGTTTGGTTGATTGAACATCCTTTTCACAACATAGTATCTTGTGAGCCAACTCTCAAATAATCATCTACAAACTTTCAGGAATCTGTGCATGCAAACTTGAGAACCCATAACTTTGGATAACGCCCTATCCATTTTTTCAAAGGTAATGCAGATCATGCCAAAGTAGCGAAAGTCAAAGGTGAGATCACCCCTCCCCACCCATCCACCCAAAAAAAGTTGTATGTACTTCATATTTTTGTGTAATATGTTTGATATGGAAAATATTGAGTACCGTATTTTCCGCACTATAAGCCACTTCGGAGTATAAGGCGCACCTTCAACGAATGGCCTATTTTAAAACAGTTTTCAAATATCGGGCGCACCACCTTTTCAGGCGCATAGAATAGAAGCTACAATTGTGGCTGCGGTTGTGATACGCACCCACTAGATGAGCTACGCTAAAGGCAATGCAATACAATACTGATTTATTTATATAGAGGTCTCACAACCGCTGTAGCTGTCACAATGCGCGTTACAGAACATTTAAAATACTACGTCCAAGAAATCAGAATACTGATCCATATATAAGGCACATCGGATTATAAGGCGCACTGTCGGCTTTTGAGAAAATGGAATGCTTTTAGGTGTGCCTTATAGTGTGGAAAATACGGTAAATGCTAAAACATTTTGGGTGTTCGAACTACACCCTAAAAATAAATATTCAGAATGATGAAATATAAAACATTGACGTCAACTGAGTTAATAGCATTTATTTTGCAAAAAAATATGTAAATAATAATAATGGAATAGAGAAATATTGAAGTGCAGCAAGTTCTCAAGGAGTTGAGTGAGTTAAGCGATGCTGCTCAGGGCAAAACCCTATTGCTCTACTGATTTGGAATTATGCAAGATACAGGAATTGTGATCACTTTGCTGGGATGACATGCACATACACTATTGTCCCGCCTAAATTTCATCTCTGGTTTTACAATTTTTGCGAACATACTCCGAGATTCCCACTCTTGCATTACAATAATGCACTAGTGTTAACCATCATTCTGGTGGAGTTCATGTAGCATCGAGTTCAAAATGTGTCTACGGTTTCCGTACATTAACAAGCAAAAAAACAAAACAAAAAAAACAGGTCACATGTTCTATAACGGTAGCTATTTTAAGCTTGAAAGTAGCTCAAACATCTGCAGCTCCCTTTTTGTCCTCACAGATGGATCGTTCGTCGCCTTAAGTTCGTGTAGCACTTTTTACTACAGTGTATGTAACATATTTGGTAAAACATTTTTCAGCCGTCACGTTGTGGTTCCTGCCCCTGAAAGTGATTTGATTCTGGAACTTTGTTTTTTGTTTTTATTTTCACGACAATCGTGCCAAGCAGATTTGCTATAAAGAAGGGCGAAGTTGTCTACTGTATGTGCATTTTGACTCTGTATTTGTAATGTAATACCAATTTTTACAGGGTGGAAATATTCTCATGCTTCTTTAATGTGAGCGCTGCACTGTATTGGGGTTTAGTTGTTCATATGGAGGTGTCATTTGTGTTCTTCTGGTGCCTGGTGTTTTTAATGGCGATAGCTTTCTTAAAGATAATTTGCTTGTTGGTTGTTGTTTTTTTTCTCTTTTTTTGTATGTATCAGGGTTGGTGAAAAATTAAAAAATACATTTTGGATTATTCCAATACAAGAAATACATGTCACATTTCCAAGTTGAGCAGGCATCAATGGCGTCAAATAAAATCCTGGCCATTTCCAGAGACATTGTTTATTGTTCATTGCTAAATTTTCATACTTTTCTGTTTACTTGCACAATTACCCAATTGAATATGCAACAAAAACTAAAAAGGGCCGAACTCCCCAGTAACATTGCATTTTGCCAATCAGGAATTCTATCACGCATACTACTGATTAGACATCAGCACAGATATTAAGGGCTTGCTTCTTAAATGTTTGAATGGCGAGCAAATGTAATGAGCGTTTTAGGCCCTCACAATTTATATTTGAATGTCGTGTCAAAGGATAAAGCTGCATGATTTTTTTTTCTCGAACTTTTAATTAACACAGCAATGTTTTAGCCTCTAGCGATCATGTTTTTCAAGAAAAAAAAACTGCCATATTGTGTGCATTTTTGGGGTGGCCTACATCCCTCCCCTTAGTTCAGCTCGGCTTGTCTTACAGGTTTTTTTTTTGTTTGTTTGTTTTTTTAAATACACAAGTGACTCGCATAATAGTTGCATTCTGTGTTTGCATAGTTTGGTTAGAAAATGACAAAATGACAGCTGATCTGGTTGCTAGCAAAAATTACATTTGTATCAGTTCTGTAAGACTTAGGTTCAGTATATCTACAGTTCCACTAACACTGTGATACCAGATATTAAATGTTGTTTTTTGTGATTCTCTTCTCTTGAATGTTTTGATTTTCCAAGCCAACCTACTGTCATATTACGGAAGTCTTGATACTTCGATTTAGTTCCCTCTTGTGGTAAAAATCGTTCAACACACACCGAGGCTTGAGCATTGTTGCACAAACGTAACTCCCGCTCATAATAATGATAACAGTTCCAAGTTTGAGGGAAAAAAAATAATTCAGGCAAACATCTTTGGTCTATTTTTGCACACTGTCAGGCCCAATCAAAAGATCACAGCTCAGACCGGTGACCAGTTTACTGTAATCTATTTAGTTATTCATCTTTCAGTCAATTAAATCTGTAGTGTAAAGAGTAACATTGTATAGAACACCTGGATAACAATAGCAATATACAGTATGTTTAGAAAGCCGTCCATTGTCTATATTGCCGAAGCAATTATTATATTAAAAAACAAAAAACAGCTGAAATGGGGTATATGCATTCTTCATACTGTACACTGGGGGGGAAGAGTTGTGTAAACTCAAAAACAAACTGATCACATTTAAAGTTGGGCAATTCAATGTAATTGTTCAAGATTTGCGGTTGTGAAAATTGGCTTTCCTGTATTTCACAACAAAGAAATAAGAGTTTACAGAACTTTGGTCCCTTTCATTGTCCCCCTCCCCAAGTTAAAGTCACGAGGAAAAACTACTCCGCACATGACTTTGCATGCTTTACTGTACTAACCAAAAAGTTGATGTTACCATAAAAATGACTAATTTACATTTTAAAGATATTTCAACTTACATTACTGGTTCAGCAACTGTCCCCCCTGCTGATCACCACTAGAGGGCATATTTGTCTGGTGTTTTGCAATACTGTCTTGGCAGTCTTGGCATCTTTGGTTGAAATCTGTAAACCGGCAGCACACGTCAGACTTTTCTTGTTCCAAGATATGTTTTAATCCTTCATCTTTTCAACATGAATTAAGTGAGCATGACAATCTTAAAATGCTTTTCTTTTTTTTCTTTTTTTTATCCTGAGACATATTACTCCCTTGTTGGACATGTTGACATCAGCTATGTATGATGTTCCTTAACGCTCAGCGCAGCTTCATTCTTTAGTTGACGTGTGTCCCAAAGAACAGGTTGTTTGTCTCATTTTGCCTTTTGTGTCTACTTCCTGCCAGATGCTGCATCCGTCGGCGGCGTTAACAAGACCACGCCGAGAATGAAAGTGCAAACTCTCGCTGATATATCATCCCCTCACCAGCTGTTCTTCTGTTTGGAAGTCTGTCCACCAATCACCGGGCAGGGCCACGGGAAGTTGCCATCTGCGGGCGCCATGGCGACCGTTGTTTGTACGTGGGATGTGGAAACGAGGAGGAGGATGAGGAGGCTCGATCCACTGGAAAAGTGTAAGACCTTTGTAATTTAGTGATCACACCCAGATGTTTATAGCTGCAAACTTTGCACTCTGTAATGGCCATGGCATACCTCTTCTGAGGAAACTAAGAGAGTGCTCGTTTTAAACCAGAATGGAGGAAAAAAAAAATCCAACAGTCTCTCAAAGTCCAGAAGAAGCTGCAGACAGAGCAAAATGATTGAGCAGCCGAGTCATTGCTCAATAAAACATTAGCCAGTAGAGGGAGCTCGAGTGCCGTCAAAACAACACCGCCTCTTTGTCTCCATGCTGGCAATGAGGAGCTGAAAAATCCATAAGAACATATAAATGTACCATTAGCTTTCTGTTTCAGTGCCACTTAACACTCAGCAACACTGATGAGCCGAGTAGCGATGTAGAAGGTGAGATCACAATTAAGCAAGATGGATGGATGGGTGGATAGATAGATGGATACTGTATATCAGGGGTCTGCAACCCACAGCTCCCGTGCCTCCAGTGCCACATGGGGGTTTCTGTGACTTTGGAAACATAAAAGAGTATTTCATTGCCGTTTTTTCATATTGTTTTGTAATGTAATTTTGTGTTCTTTGTACCATTCATTTCACAAGTGCAACAGCAACACACTATAGGTTTTGTTTTGTTTTTTTACACATACATATTGACATTATACAGTTTTACTCAAAATTAATTTACACACAGAAGGATTTTGTGACTTCAGCTTTTTTTGTGGGAGATGGTGCAAAGACGTTTTAATGGATTCCTGGTCAGTGCCTCGATATCCAGCCACTGCTGACCCCAAGCCCAAATGAAAGTCGGCAGGTTGTATCAGGAAGGGCATCGAACATAAAGAGAAGAAAAAAAACATGTATCATGTGAGCAACTTGCTGTGGTGACCCTGATAGGATAAGTTCAAAGTCACATTGTCTCTATGGGTAGATGGGTATTTGGGTGATGTAGTGGTAGATGGATAGGGCATAAGTTAAGCACTTTAGTACATTTTTTTTGTTTTCTTTATGTATTTCCCCATTTGCCGCCATTTATCATAGAAAACATGTTGGAGGTTTATCGCTGTTGAATTATTTCGTTTTTTGGGTTGAAATCACTAATCCCACTTCCTAATTCCCAAATGAATTGAAATGGGCATCACTTATACACGGATTTGTGGGTCGGTCCAGTCCCCATTTCCACAAAAATAGCGGATGTCCACAGGTTCCCTTATGATGCAGTCAAAGAGAGCCCTTCTTCACTCTTCCAATGAGGATAAAAAAATGGAAGCAAACACACTGACATTAGAGCACCCTGAGAGTCTTAATGATTGGCATGTTCACGCAGTTATTCCTGCACGCAACACAAAGGATGCTAATTATGACCACAGGCCATTCTACATCCAACCTCTGACTGACTCAAGATGACAGGACACACCTCGGACCTATTTTATCCCAGCGTGACGCTGCCCCGCTCATTGTCCCTTAAGCCCGTGACACCTATTAGATGTCATTAGCTTCCTGTGGCTCAAGCTTGAAAAAAAAAGGCTCAGTGCCTGTCAAAACAACAAAGGCTGAAGACTCATTTGTTGATGGTCATGCATTCGAGAGGACACCCTGTGACATGCAGGAGAATGTTCCTCGGTGAAAATAGGCCAACACAGTGAATTCCTGGATGTCATTCGAGATTTAAATCAACACACGATGGAGGGTAAAGCGACCCATAATGTTGAGTGCCCACTACATTTACACCGTGTGGGTGTTTTTTTTCTGTTTCTTCATGGAAACATGCATATCGATAACTATCGTTAATGTGTTCACAACATCGGGAAGAATATTGACTTCATATCTGCGGACTTAAGAGGCATATATCTTGAAAGCCTTCTCTGTTTTTTCGTTTGATTTCATTTATTAGGATCTCCATTAGCTTTGTCAGATGCCATTGCTATTTTTCTTGGAGTCCTCTTCCACCATTATCCGTACAGTGCAACGCACTCTTAACAAAAACACAAAACAAATATATAATAGTGTTTGATGAATCAAATTCCACATGATGATGGAAAAACATTAGATCCGTGTGCCATGCCCGTTCTTGACTGAAACCCAAATCACACCCATAATCACACCACAAGAGCTAACTAGCAGCATGTGTACTTTACACCAGGGCATAGCTGACTCCTCTTCACTTTTACTTGATGTATGTTACCGCGTTGGCAGTCATTTCTCCAATTGAACAATCACTCGTCACTTTCCCGCTCCAGTTCTGCCCCACCTTCCTCTTGCACTTTTCCTCACTTGGGAGAAGTTGGCCTGTGGTGATTCACCTGTGCTTTCTCACCTGGCCTCTGACTCACCTGTCAGGGTGCCAAGTGAGGTTTCAGGTTGTCTAAGGCAGGGGTCCCCAACGGGTAGAGCACCTACTTTATCATGACAGAAAGGCCTTAAGAATTGGGTTCACAGTTAGCGTGTGGTTGTACTTGTTGTGCCCCTTGTCCAAACCCACTGGGGCTAGATAGACTCCAGTTGACCCACTACCTCGAGGTGATTTCCCTGAAAATATTGTCTGACTTCAACCGGTCCGTGGGGCAAAAAAGGTTGGGGACCCCTGGTCTAAGGGCCGCAAGGAGGGAGGGTAGAGCACCTACTTTATCATGACAGAAAGGCCTTGAGAATTGGGTTCACAGTTAGCATGTGGTTGTACTTTGCCCCTTGTCCAAAACCACTGGGGCTAGATAGACTCCAGTTGACCCACTACCTCGAGGTGATTCTTACACACTGAACAGTATGTGATGTTCTGAAGGATAAGACGGTGCAGGGATGATGGCATAAGCTTGCCCATACGTGGAACTGAAGAATTGGGTTCACAGTTAGCGTGTGGTTGTACTTGTTGTGCCCCTTGTCCAAACCCACTGGGGCTAGATAGACTCCAGTTGATCCACTACCTCGAGGTGATTCTTACACACTGAACATTATGTGATGTTCTGAAGGATAAGACGGTGCGGGGATGATGGCATAAGCTTGCCCATACGTGGAACTGGTTCCAAAGTGATCCAACAGGAAGTAGCCCGTTGCCTTTCCCCATTGCTGTGGACTTAAAGTAAGATGCAGTTTGACACTATGTGTTTGTCACCATTTCACTGTTTTTCATTATAATACTGAAGAGGAAGAGGACGTGAGCAAATGGGTTCATCTCATTGCACAGCAGGAGCAGGAGGAGTTGAGGCTCGTCCATGAGTTACAGTTCCATAAAGACCGCTTCGACTTTGGGCTGACCAGGGAAGTGTCTTTTTTTTTTTTTTTGCCACATTTTTATAGTTTCTCTTGTGTCCCAGACCTCGAGACACTGGGACCACACATCAATTACCGATTCCTCTGTTGCCCTTTTTTGTTGTACACAACCGCCATCATCATTGTATTCAAAAACAACATTTGATTGATGATTTTCAAAAGAGTCCATCGAGGAAAGTCAATTGCCCTTCCCTGTTGAAAGCACTAATCTGTGAACATTCACGGTAGAAAATTATGGCCAAGGACATCTTATTTTACCTTTGACCTCAAATTTGCCTGCCACGTTTCATCAAAACAAATACACTTCTTTCTCCAATACAGAAATCTCTGCCAATTCCTGAAAGTTTGATGACTGAGTGAAGAAGAAGAAAACCTCCACAGATGCTTGCAGGAGGTGGGGACTGAATCTCACAGTAATCCACAAGTAATCTAAAAAAAACGTCTTTGTCTGATTTTTGGATTTAAAATGAAGTTGGAGGAATGGCCCCTGCTTCCCACTGCTCTTTACATCCTGTCACTCAGGTATTTTTGTAGATTGGCTGCGTTTGATTAGTGAGGCTGCAAGCGTCAGCCATCACTGATGACATACCGTATTCCACGCTGCACCACAGCTTCCAGCCATGCACCTGTTCCCTCACACGTACACGCACGCAAGCACGCTTGAGTGCATGTGGTTTCAACTTGGCTTTTTCTCATTAAAAACTGGTTGCAATTTGACAGCTTGTGACAGCAACGGCTTGCACATAGTTGGCGCCGCAGTGACAGATATCCGACGGCTTGATGATAACCGTTGCCTTATTGCAGAAACACAGGTGTCCCTCATGGCAGACGACAATAGACAGCTCTGAGTGACGGATGGCTTTGATGAAAAGTTACACAACTGGAAACAAAGTGGACGTGTCCCCCAACCGCTTGCTATGACAGCATCCCATCCAATCCCGTTCCCTTTTCTCTCTCTGTCTCTCTTCACATGTGAACACACAAATATCACCCTCCGCAATGTCTCAGAATGCTTTTCTTTTTGTTTTTCTTTTCGCTTTGTAGCGCTCGCTCCTCTCGCGTGCCCTCTGTCAACGGTAAACTTTCTGAAAAGCGAGCTTAACAGGCCGTGGAAGGGCAGCACAGATGGCTACATCCTAGGTGGTAATTATCAACTACTTCCACCCCGACAACAAGGAGGAAAAAAACCCAGTAACAAGGCAAGGTGTTGCCGTCAGGTCAACTGATGGCGCTGACACGTTTCGTAAGCGCACTTTGGCAGTGAGCTCAAGCAGACAAACGGGGAGGGAAAGGGGCGAGGGAATTTACAGCAAGGGGCCCTCTGGAAGCTCGACAGTGTCACAGGTCAAGAACCACCGTAAGAGGATGTTGTTTTTTTTGGCTTCATTACACAACAGCCGCAAGAAAATATCTATATTAAAAGTCTTTTATCCGCTCCACCGCAGGTGTGAACGCATCGTCTCGCATTTGACTGAGAATTGTAGGGATACGGCTAGCAGGGTTCCCACTCTTCCACTTGCTTTTTATTTATGGACCTTTTAAGGGGGCTAATTTAGCCGTTTTTTAAGGACTTTGTCTCCATTCAGCAGGGGATTCACGGTGGATTTAATGAACAGAAAGCCACATATCACTGAGCTGGTGTTCAAATCATTGCTGCCAAAGGAAGGGCACATCTTTATTTTTAGGGGCAATCAGCTAACCCTTTATTTGACATACTGTGTGTCAAATTGGCCCGAAATGACCCCAAATGATCACGTGATCATCATCGGAACTGATCGGAGACGGCGGGAAAAGCAGAGAGGGAACCAGGAAGGCATGTAGCCCGACAGCGGGGTTTGAGGGGAAGGGCGCCAGGCGCATTTTCCGACAAAACTATTCATTGGAAGGGTGGGGAAAATGACATACACAAATGAAATGAACACCACAGATTGATTTTTAAGGCTTTTTATTGACTTTAGAAGCTTTCCCTGAAAATTAAGGATTTTACAATTTAGTGTGGGATTCAGGTTATTGTTTAAGGTTCGTCTGGGTTATTCTGGTTTGGAGTTAGGAGTTGTGGTTGGGTTAGAGGTTAGGATTAGTGAATCTGATTTTGGTTTCGGTCAGAATTAATTATTACTGTTGGGTTATTCATGACATTTAGAGAGAGTACTCATGTCCGGGTATAAGTAGGCTCAGAATAAGGGTATTAGGGCAGTTGGGTTTGGATTGAGTAAGGCTGGGTTCAGCGGGCTTCAGAACAGGATAAAGATTACGGCCTGGGATAGATAGAGGTTGAAGGTTTAGCAAGAGTTCATTTCCAGAATTATTCTGAAATATTTCCTTATTTTTCCAGTCTTAACTGTTGAAGGCTTGTTCTTTTGTCATGGCCGAGAAATGGTCGCTCTGCCAATTTGTAATTCCACACTAGGTGCTAGTAATGGCTCCATTTGTGCACTTTTTTTCCTCCAAGAACTGTTTATTTTGCTGTAGATCAATTAAAATTAAAGGCGACAGCTAATTTGAATCCTCTTTGAATCACAGGAAATGTAATAGGGAACAAGATGATAGACAAGGCTCCCCCTACCTCCGCACAAGCCGCCCGCCACATGCAAAAATATGGAAATGGGGCCTGTATTCGGATCTTTGTCTGGTTGTCATTCTCACATGGGGCACATCAAAGCCATATGACCCGATTTTGCACCTGCTGTTTAATTAAATTTACAAGACAGACACAGTCTCCACTCCTGGTGATATACAAATCTGGCTTTATTACCCACTACTGTAATTTACAAGGCAATTTACCGCTGGGCGCTAATGGAGCCTGCCAAAGTGCTCCCTCTGAAAACATATACAAACATGTGCAACAACAAGTTGTGTGAAGATGGAACCCAAAATGCCAAGTCCAGTTTTCAAAATGTAAACACCACTTGTAACATTCCACCAGCTCCTCAGCTCACTTGACTCCAGCCCACAGTTCGGCCGCCATGATTCCCATGAGCCGTAATACAATAGACAACTTCTTAGGTGATATCGAAATTCATAAAAAACGAGGGGCATACAATGGTGTCACTATTGCATTTCACAGTTACCACAGGTTGGTTGACTCAGTGCAACACAGATGTGCAACAATTTGCAGACGTGGTTCTTGCACAACTAAATATATGTTCAGCGAATACAGGAAAGGCAGATCCTTCAATGCATTTTTCATTATATACAGTAAATGGTTGAGTTTGTTGAGGAGAATGAAGCTTGAAATTAACTCATTTAATGTGAAAATGTAAAATGCCGTTTTTGGTGTGTTTTTTTTTTTAATTATTATTAATAAAAATGTAATAAAGGGTTTCGTGCAGCTCCTGAGTTCAGTATCAAGCCGATGGGAATTATTTTAGTATGATAATTCACCACTAGATGGTAGGAGTGGCTTTGATCAGATCTTGGTCCACACATGGCGTTTATACAGTAAGGCCATCCTCTGTGGCGTGCGAAAGCAGTGTGGTGGTGAGAACATGGATAAATACCGCCAGCTAACTCAAGTGTCATCCTTATGTGCCCTTGCCTAAAGGAGACCGGTTTCACATTTACCTCAAAGAAAAGGACTTCTATGAACACACACACACACACACACACACACACACACACACACACACACACACACACACACACACACACACACACACACGCACACATGTTGTTCAACGTTCATGAAAAGCTCATGCAAAGTTCATGCATCAGTGCAATGTTTTTCTTGCAATCAAAGTGCCCTTTTTGTGTTGTTTATGTTGCTATTTTCGTATGAAAGCATTGTTTCGATATTTTTTTCATATCACAAATGCAAAAAAAAAAACAAAAAATAGCATCAAAGTGAAAGTTCGACTTGAAATGCATCCTTTCACAAATCGCTCTTTTTCTCAGATTTTTTTTTCTTGGAAACGAGTATTTTCAGGAAACTACGTAAAGAAAAACAAACACACACATTTTGAGCTTTATTTACTTTTTCAAACACATTGTTGATTATGCCTCTGAGAGAGCCTCACACCCTTCATGGAAATTGCCACATGAAATGACCAGTTTGAGCATTGTGATTTACCTTGCCTTGCATTGTTGTCCTGCAATTAATGGTGGCCTAAGAAAAAAGAAAAAAAAACTTTTTTTTTTTGCGGTATGAGGCACTGAAAAAAAAGGGTCGCTGCTTCTGGGCTATGATCAGGCTCAATGCAGCCCCAGCTTTCATCACAAGTATTGACCAATGTCAGCACTGCACATTAGGTGCCGGCAACAGCTAGAACATAAAAGTCTACTGCGTGCGCTTAGAGCACCAGCTGCCATGTGCCCATCCGTGCACTGCTGCCTCATGAAGGGAATACACTTTCTAAAGACACCCACCAATCTGTGGCTATCCCCCAATAAAAATACGATAGCACTAAATCCATTTGTTTTAATGTTTTAGGGATTAAACTACAACTACCGGTAAACACGACGACTACTAACAAGATACTACATCTACTTGTACCAGGTGCCTTGTTTTCATCACAGTTGGCTCCACACAGTCTAGTGATGGGATTTTCGGCTCTTTTCGGTGATCCGGTTCATTTGGATCGGCTCAGTGAAAAGAGCCGGCTCTTTTTGGCCCTGAAACGGCTCTTAACTTTAGCTTTTCTTTTAAATATTTATGACAAATTTAGCATACATTTTGATAAATGACTTGGTGAACTAAATATTGCACTCTACTGACTGCAAATAGCAACACTTATCAAGCAAAGAAATGGCTTTTTACTTATTTTATTGAACATTAAAAAGGTTCCAAACAATAAACAAGCAACAAAATTAAACTTCAACCAACAACAATCAAACATGCTGCATCATAACAAAAATAGTGAGTATTAACTGCAACAGCAGCAGTGAACAAAACAAACATAAGGTACTCCTTGCTTTATTTTAACAAACATAAGCTACTCCTTGCTTTATTTTAAATTTGCAGTCAACAAAACTAAATACTTAAACTTGGAACACTTCAATTTGTCCTGTCTTTGAGAACACCCTCTCTGACGGGACAGATGTTGCTACAATGCACAATCTACTCTCCATTACTTTGATCAAACGGGGGTAGACGGAAGCTCGGTATTTCCACCAGCTCAATGGATCAGCTGCCCTTGAAATCTGTGGTTCTTCAAGATATGCCCTAATTTAGTGTTTTGTGTTTTTGCACGCTTAGCTAATACAGTCCTGTAAATTAAATTCAGATTGCTTGTCAAACGCCTTTGTGGTTTCCTGGACAGTAGGGGGCGATATGAACGAAAGACATCCAATTCACCAAGAAGAAGAATAAGTACAAGCACAAGAACGGTACCACATCCGGTTCAATGAGCAAGTTTTTCCGTTGTCTACAAGCCCTGTTCTCAGTGAGTAATTTTAACATTTTAAACCAACATCGCAGTTTATCTCTGAGTGTATAGATGTAGACAATTGGGGAGCGTTATTACGACACGTTGCTCCTTTGATTTTGTTGTTGTGACTCAACGTAAAAAAAACAACGTCAGCAAAGGGGACAGTGAGCGAGCACGCCGCCGACAAGTAGACCTCAGCTGTCAATCAAAAAGCAATCGCTAACAGCGTTTGACTTGAATACTATTCTGTATGTTTTCCACACCAAAGCTGCTATCAGCAGTGGAAGTATGATGGCTTCCCATCAGGGGGGGCAGATTTGTTTCAAAACTATTCCCACAAATGCACCCGTGGCTTTGTTCATTTGTTTTTCGAAAGGAGGTTGCTCATTGTACTTTAGGTGTGTGGAGAGAGCCGCGAGTGGATCGCTCAAACAGATGCATTGCGAGTGCGGGCACGTTTGGAAATGGACGGGTTGAAAGTAAAAGTTTGCCACTTTACGAATAATGACTCAAATTAAAAAGAAAAAAAGAAACAACGTTTTTATGGACTACAGTGTGTGACTTTTCACTTTTGTTTTCTGCCTGACCAGATTAGTCAGATTACTGGGCCAAAGGCGCAGCTGCCAGACTCGGAGGACATGCGGAAGGGACGCCAACCTGCATTTGGACATCCGTGAGTACTGAGCTGTGTGTTGTGCTTGAAGAGCTGATGTCTGATGTCACGTTGCACCACAAGGTGGAGGTGAGTGCGCCCGCCTGTCTGTCTCTCACTCAACTTAAACTTCTGCTTCGTGTACTGCACAAAAGTGGCAACTCCACATAGACAACCCGAGCACCATCAAGCACTTCTGGAATATGTTTTAAACCTTGAAGTGGACCAAGTTAGTTTAAAAATGTGTCTATGCATGCACACACACACACACACACACACACACACACACACACACACACACACACACACACACACACACATATATATATATATATATACATATATACACACACACACACACACACACACATACATATGACTAACTTCAATGTCATTTAAAAAGTTGACCAGAAGAGTGTGATCATGTTGTTGTGGAGTTAAATGGCAGTTCGTTTTTGTCTCAGTGAGAGAAGTCTTTTTTTTTTTTTTAATGAATCTTTATTCGAACAAGTCATAGTACAATTCTCAACAAACAGAAAACAAAATGAACATGTTATTAATACATACACATATTACAAACATTTAAACAAAAAAGAAGCCAGGGGATTTTAAACAAAAATTTCAAATAAGGAGCATATACTCAGTGAGAGAAGTCGGATATGCTCATGTCCCCCTTGGTGTGTCATGAGATGTCAGTGACATCACGCATGAGCTGGTCAAGCACATGCTCCCATCTCAGGCCTGTCGTCAGTGTTTGTGTGCGTGCAACTTGAACTGGCCCACACAAAGATTGACTGGTCAAATGCTTTCACATTGTCATGTTCGCTTTTCTGTCCAATAAATTGTTCAATTTGAATCTGAGTCTTTGCCTTTCGTGACTAAATCCATCCTCAACCCACTTGAAGCCTTTTCAAAGACTGACTGACCTCTTGAAGTCAGACTTGCGCTTCAGTCACATCAGACAGTCTTTTCACTGTTCCCGTTGGTCTCCACATGACTGGAAACTCCAGGAATCGAGCTTTTAGGTCATGTGAAACCGACGGGAACAGTGAAGACTGTCTGTGACCCAAGTGCAAGTCTGAGCTCAAGACTCAAGTGGGACTTTGTAAAAGTGCTGCAATGCCCGCCCCAAACTACACCCAATTTGACATCCACCAATGGCAGTGAGGCCCTCATTTGCATAACACGAATCCTAATTTACATAACCACGCCCATGTCCACAAGTTCTGACCAATCAGAAAACCCATAATTTGCGTAACCACTCCCCCTTTACACCAATCTCAGCATGTTATCGCCATGCTCCACCCACTTTCACAGCTATCAGCGAATCATCAGCCATCATTCCAGCCAGGCCACACCCACTTTCCTGGATCTTTCTGCCTTGAAACAAAATATCGGAGAAAAAAAATTTTGGAATAAAAAAAATTGAAAAAAATTCTGAAAAAAGTTAGAGTGTGGTGATGTGTTTAAAAATGAAGTTGAGTTGAAGTGTTCTTTGTAATCAAGCTTTATTTCTTTGGCAGAGTAGACAATCACAAAAGCAGAGGAAAAAGTTACAAGTTGGATGGCAGTCTGCTTGTTGCTGGGCGGCGAAGTGGTCAGCTCTTTAGAAGAACGTGGGACAGGTGTGTTGACCTGAGAGGAAAGGCATCTGTGAGTGACACGTAAGTCAATTTCTTGTGCATACAAAGATGTGTTGGGCATGAAACTTACCAGTGAGATAGACTGTTGGGTCTTTCGAGAGCAGGAAGCTGATCATGTTTACTGCTGCCTGGGGGAGAAAAAAAAAAGTCAAAAAAGTAGTCATGATGGTGCATTGAACGCGTGTAAATGTCTCCTACTTTTCAGGCTGGCCCTATAGTTTGACTTCACCACCTTGCGAATAACAGGAAGAAGAGCAAAATGTGTTGCCTGCAGATCTGTGCAAATCAGTGGACTCTGGCGGTGAGCAGGTGACTCCCTCTTGTGGCACGGAGGACCCAAGAACAATCTTCCTTCAACTCTGAAAAATATAATGTGGCTTGTTGTATTGGTTCTGTTTCAGTGACAGACTGAGGCTGCTGTTGTCTTTTCCTCTGATCAAAACAGTGTCCCCACCCCCGAGCGGATATTCCACGAATTGCACCCTATTAAAAATATTAATTCTGTGTCTTTTGTGCATTTTTTCACTTTTAAATTACCCTGCGGGCCTGATCAAACCTCCTTGCGGGCCGGTTCCGGCCGTAAGTTATGCACCCCTGATGAATAGTAAGGCGTTTTTAGCCGAAAAAAACGACCATGTATAATAAGGCATTTTTTGACGAAAAAAACGACCATGTGTGGTAAGGCGTTTTTAGATGAAAAAAACGACCATGAAAAGTAAGGCGTTTTAACCCGAAAAAAACGACCATGTATAGTGAGTCGTTTTTGGACGAAAAAAACGACCATATCTGAAGAAAGGCGTTTTTAGCCGAAAAAACGACCGTGTACAATAAGGCGTTTTTAGACGAAAAAAACGAGCATGTATAGTAAAGCGTTTTTAGACGAAAAAAACGGGCATGTACAGTAAGGCGTTTTAACCCGAAAAAAACGCCCACCTATAGTAAGGCGTTTTTAGCGGAAAAAAAAACGACCATGTATTGTAAGGCGTTTTTAGCCGAAAAAACGACCGTGTACAATAAGGCGTTTTTAGACGAAAAAAACGACCATGTAGAGTAAGGCGTTTTTAGACGAAAAAAACGACCATGTAGAGTAAGGCGTTTTTAGACGAAAAAAACGACCATGTAGAGTAAGGCGTTTTTAGACGAAAAAAACGACCATGTAGAGTAAGGCGTTTTTAGACGAAAAAAACGACCATGTAGAGTAAGGCGTTTTTAGACGAAAAAAACGACCATGTAGAGTAAGGCGTTTTTAGACGAAAAAAACGACCATGTAGAGTAAGGCGTTTTTAGACGAAAAAAACGACCATGTAGAGTAAGGCGTTTTTAGACGAAAAAAACGACCATGTAGAGTAAGGCGTTTTTAGACGAAAAAAACGACCATGTAGAGTAAGGCGTTTTTAGACGAAAAAAACGACCATGTAGAGTAAGGCGTTTTTAGACGAAAAAAACGACCATGTAGAGTAAGGCGTTTTTAGACGAAAAAAACGACCATGTAGAGTAAGGCGTTTTTAGACGAAAAAAACGACCATGTAGAGTAAGGCGTTTTTAGACGAAAAAAACGACCATGTAGAGTAAGGCGTTTTTAGACGAAAAAAACGACCATGTAGAGTAAGGCGTTTTTAGACGAAAAAAACGACCATGTAGAGTAAGGCGTTTTTAGACGAAAAAAACGACCATGTAGAGTAAGGCGTTTTTAGACGAAAAAAACGACCATGTAGAGTAAGGCGTTTTTAGACGAAAAAAACGACCATGTAGAGTAAGGCGTTTTTAGACGAAAAAAACGACCATGTAGAGTAAGGCGTTTTTAGACGAAAAAAACGACCATGTAGAGTAAGGCGTTTTTAGACGAAAAAAACGACCATGTAGAGTAAGGCGTTTTTAGACGAAAAAAACGACCATGTAGAGTAAGGCGTTTTTAGACGAAAAAAACGACCATGTAGAGTAAGGCGTTTTTAGACGAAAAAAACGACCATGTAGAGTAAGGCGTTTTTAGACGAAAAAAACGACCATGTAGAGTAAGGCGTTTTTAGACGAAAAAAACGACCATGTAGAGTAAGGCGTTTTTAGACGAAAAAAACGACCATGTAGAGTAAGGCGTTTTTAGACGAAAAAAACGACCATGTAGAGTAAGGCGTTTTTAGACGAAAAAAACGACCATGTAGAGTAAGGCGTTTTTAGACGAAAAAAACGACCATGTAGAGTAAGGCGTTTTTAGACGAAAAAAACGACCATGTAGAGTAAGGCGTTTTTAGACGAAAAAAACGACCATGTAGAGTAAGGCGTTTTTAGACGAAAAAAACGACCATGTAGAGTAAGGCGTTTTTAGACGAAAAAAACGACCATGTAGAGTAAGGCGTTTTTAGACGAAAAAAACGACCATGTAGAGTAAGGCGTTTTTAGACGAAAAAAACGACCATGTAGAGTAAGGCGTTTTTAGACGAAAAAAACGACCATGTAGAGTAAGGCGTTTTTAGACGAAAAAAACGACCATGTAGAGTAAGGCGTTTTTAGACGAAAAAAACGACCATGTAGAGTAAGGCGTTTTTAGACGAAAAAAACGACCATGTAGAGTAAGGCGTTTTTAGACGAAAAAAACGACCATGTAGAGTAAGGCGTTTTTAGACGAAAAAAACGACCATGTAGAGTAAGGCGTTTTTAGACGAAAAAAACGACCATGTAGAGTAAGGCGTTTTTAGACGAAAAAAACGACCATGTAGAGTAAGGCGTTTTTAGACGAAAAAAACGACCATGTATAGTAAGGCGTGTTAACCCGAAAAAAACGACCACCTATAGTAAGGCGTTTTTAGACCAAAAAAACGACCATGTATAATAAGGCATTTTTGACGAAAAAAACGACCATGTGTGGTAAGGCGTTTTTAGATGAAAAAAACGAACATGTATAGTAAGGCGTTTTTCGCTGAAAAAAACGACCATGGATAGTCAGGCGTTTTTAGCCGAAATAAACGACCATGTATAG